TTTCAACCTAACCTCTTAACTGTAATCAAACTCTTTCTTACAGACCCAGAATTGAATAAATTGAATTGTGACTCGTTACTAAAAATGTCGTTATTTAAACGAACGTGAAAATGATTAAAAACCCACAGAAGACTTTGTTGACGAAACCGTCTGTTTAAAATGACACCATAATGGTATACGACATTATATGTCTCTCTCCGAAAAACGCTTTTTACAGTGTAACGACTTACAGACACGCCACGATTACCGATCACTTTACGAGTAGTTCATTCTGCCACACTTGTACATCCAAAGTGTCCGGTCATTTACTTTAATATTCATGAATGTATTTTAAAATAATTTTGTATAACTATATATAAATGTTTGACAAAGGCTGATATTTCGCGCGCTAAATCTAGGCCTGTAGCCCAGAAGTCATTGTCGCATTTAACTTGAAAGGACATTTTCATGAAAACGTATCGTTAATGTCTTATAACAATCCTATCAGTCAATGAAAGACTTTAAAATAACGTGTGATAAATGTGTTGCATTTTCAGACAATGTGTCGTTTGCAAGAGTAAGGTCTTCACTTCAAAAGACAAGGACCAAATTGTAAATCAAAATACGTGATTAAAAGACTTTGCACGAGCTCATGTCAGTTTGACAGTTAGAAATAAAAGTGACGGTTTTAAATGGATTTGGATGTCAAAAAAGTACATTGAAACGTGTATCTGGTATTATCATTGAAATTAATTAACGGATGCTTCTTCTGCATACTAAAACATTAAATAATGTGTTTGTAAATCATTGTTTATTCTTGTAACCTTTTTCTTTTGTTGACAGTCAAAGATCATATTGCTTTTCAGTTTTAAGTATATATACATACAAATAAAATGTTATTTAGACGTCGGTTGGGTTACACAACCACAAGTATCAAAATTGGTACCAGACGAGAAAAAGATGCTTATTTTTTGTTTGTTTTGATGACATATGGAAGTTTGAAATTGAAAACATAATTAAAGGGAAAGCCTTAAGATTCTATTGGATTTCGGGTGATTGGATGAAAAGTTATTGTGTATAAGTATTAAACTATTTTAGAAACTAATAGTACATTGTTTTCTGAATAAATGAAGTACGTGTACTTTGTAAGTCTACGTGCAGACAACGCGCCATTTGGTGTTCTTCACTAGAGACAGGACGATAAGACAACAGTGCGCCAAGGCGCCATTTGGCGCGTTTCTCTAGCGACAAGACGAAATGGCGATAACAATATCAGTTGTATTGTCGCTATCGACAACGCAATGCGCAAAGTGTACCAAATCAGCCACCATAATAGTAAGTCCGTTGATGTTTCGCATTGCTTGAAATAATAAATACATTACATCTATCGATACGACGAAAAAGGTGGACGTTTTAAATAATTACAAACATAATGTACACGTTAATTGAACTCGAAATATGGCCATTTCCGAAACATTTTCTAAGATCTCAGACATATTTATTTCAGTAGTAGCAAAGGTGATAGGGGATGTATATACCTAATGCTTTCCTAAAGTAACTATTTATTGTTACTGTTACTGGGGATTTTATTTTATGTAAAAGCACTTGCTAAGTATTTGCTTTATAAAGAGATACGCATGATTATTTTCATTTTCTGTATATAACATCCCATTCTTTTTCTTTTCTTCAAATATCTGTACTCAAAGGTGATGTGTGGGCCATAATAATGCCCTACTTATATTTGCTATCATAGCAGTGTATCATTTATATCAACTTGCTGGGTTAATGAATCGTTGTAAAAATGATTATGAACATTATGTGATTTTTTAGTGATATCAATACTTTTGTTTTTCTTAAATTACTTTATAATTAGTTCTTGTAAGATAGACTTGAAAAATATTCATTCTCTTGATAACAATAATAGTTGTTTGAACAAATTTTGTGATAATAATGGAACGTGTTTAATTTACCATTATCAAAAAACTGAAAATGATATGGATTAATATATATTTTTTTTTTATTTTATATGTTGTTATGTATGGATGAGATTTTAATAGAAAATTTAATTATTCAATTATATAATTTCACAAAGTAAAAGCTGTTTGTGTTCTAAATTACAAGAGACTGTAAACGTAACATAGTGGAAGGGAGGCAACTCTGCAAGGATTTCAATATAACTTACAGAGTTACCTCTCTTTTTCTTCCACATTGATATACATATTACAACTAAAAAAAGAAACTATTGTTATCTTAGCGACTGACTTTCAAGCAGTACTGGCGAAAAATATTTGTCTTATACCTTGTGATATCATCACGGACTTAAAGTTTGTTTAGCCATTTGAAGCTTATCTCATCGTCAGAAAACTTTTGAAAATCAAATATTACTGTTGATATCTTCGCTCCAGAAACGGCTGAAGTGAACATTCATGTCATATAAAATATTCTTATTTTCGACAAACAGACATGCAAGTTAACACGACACACAAATTATTAACAGTGTTCAATATGGAAATAATTTTACAATGTACAAGTTTCATGTAATTACTAATAAACAAGGCGGGGTTTTCACGAGAGGATATAGATGATTTCTATTTGGTTGTCATGCCTCGTGTTACTAATACCTTAAATTGCCATTTATTTGTTTGTTTGCACTTTTTGAGCTATCACAAGATCATACTAACGTTCAGAATTTCCGTCTTCGTAACCGTCACAATATATATTTTCTTCGATGAAGAAATTAAACTTGCAATATTGCCAAATAGTGCTCTATCTTCAAAGTAAATAACCAAGCAAATATCTTGTCAGTGAATTAATGCAATAATGCAATAAAGTTTCAGGGATTTTATGTAATATATAAGTACTTATAAAGTACTGAAATTAGATATTAAGTATGATATTTGTAATGAAGAGAATGCGTCAAATTTTGAAAATAAATTATTGGCTGGAACGATATCGTTACTTGTTACAGTACGGCTGAGATTTAACGACAGTACATATTCAAATACATTTAATATCACTGTTTCGTCTAAGAATTTATATAATTTTTTTAAGAACGCATACCATCAGTACACACGTCCTCTTGAAAAGACGTACAACAATCATAGTCTTCTTGAACGTCCTCAACATCTTCATCACTTATACTATCACACGACTCCTCTTTGAAAGCATTCGGTACAAAAGCGTAGATATGAAAACCAAACCATGTAGTAAGTAGATATTTTCTATCGACAGAAGCTTTATCTTAATGCAAGTTTCCATATACAAATTCAGTTTAATTTTAAACACTTGAATTATAATAAATGTATGTAAGTTTATAATCTTTGAATATTGTCGGATATAATAAAAGTTACCTGGATTTTATATCACTGTGTGTTTTCCCTGCCGCTTTGTCAGAATACGTGCGTATATCATTTGGAACAAGCAGATGACATACAACTAGCAAAATTAAATATCTACTCTTTTATTGTTCATAGAATAACACAAAACAAGCTTAGTTAAATGCATAAACATATGTTATCACATCAGTTATCACATATGTGATCACATCAGTCCAAAAATATGCATGCAACCTCATTTAAAAGCTTTTTAAAAGCTGTACATCAAAGAAAACATTTCATCTATTGTTATTTTATGATTTTTGTCCACAATTGACTTCTGTCTAAACTATTCTATTTCCACTCAACAACAAGCAGCAGCAGCAGCAGCAGCAGCAGCAGCAACAGCAACCACAACAACAACAACAACAATTATTTTTCTTGGCTTACACAAAAAGTAACATTTCTTACAATTTGTTTCAGAAATAGTTTTATGTTTGAAGCTTTATGCCTCGTTAAGTTTTCGCAAATTCCCTTGCTAAGCTATTGTGAATAACGTTTGAACTATATTAATAGGATAAATTAAATACTTTTAGATACTTCTTGAGTTTAAACAGATTTTACATTATACATACGACATCTGCCAGCAATTAAAGCATTCTATTTGATATTTATGTGTATATATGTCTTGGGGCTGAAGTTCAATTGCAATGGCATTTGGGATTTTGCCACATTTCAAAACTACAATTTTGTTACTTCAGAGTATGCGTTTTCACAGACTTCCACATAATTAGCAGGAAACATCCCACGTGCTCCATTTGCTGTTGTCCCTACCCACCAACTACCATCTATTGGTTCTATATTTGTAATAATATCGCCCGGTTCAAAAGATATTTCCTCATCGTCTCCTGTATATATTTAATACAAAACAAGCTTAGTTATATGCATAAACATATGTATATATTTTCAATATGGATTTTACACAAAATAGTTTAACAAATATACTGCATTATTAAAGTTTAAATACCAGGTTTAATTGTTAACTGCATATTCTATTTCTCTTTTACTATAAATTGCTATTAACTTTTAACTTAGTCACTTTTTCAATACTTAACATCAATCTAGTTTTTGTCCTGACTTAAATATATAGAGGATATTCAAGTTCTTTCTATAAATACATGATTTATTTTCATCGAGTGGTATGAAAATAAATATTTCATGAGTGGCGGTAGCCACGAGTGAAATATGGTAATTTTCATGCCACAAGATGAAAATAAATCATGTATTTATAGAAAATACTTGAATTTTCTGTTTATTATATACATTTTTCTCTTTTCTGACATTAAAATTTAAAAGACTTTCCCTTAAATTTTGTGTACTGGCAGAATTTAAAAGAAAGTAGTCCGGCAAAGACACCAGTGAAAATACGGAAAATATGTTTCACTGCAGTGAAAAATAAATTTTTACAGTGAAAATACGAAAATGAAAATACGCATTTTATTTCATCAATATTTCTCAATATTTCATTTATAAGTATATAATAAATGATCTATATCTTATCGGTTATCAAGCAACGCTCAGAGTTGTGGATGAAAAATATGCGATAAACAAAACATCTCTATCGAGGTATTCTTTCATAAAATTGTCAAATCTTTTTCAGAAAAGATTAGTCAAAAATGAATATAACAAACTCGTTGAAATTCATACCTGCTGTGTAATCGTACAAGGCAGTTACATTAAATCCTGGTGTTATATCAACACTTTTATTGCTTGTACTTTGATCCTCATGTACATCTGAAGTAAGAAATGAACAACATGAGAGATTTACGTACGCATTTCAAGGGGAAGGAATATGTACAAATCACTTACTGTTTAAGTTACAACACAGTTTGATCAAAATATACCGCTGCTTTTATTGGTGTTCCTGAGCAATAATTTTTAACTATAAGGTGTTAACATTTTAGTTATTTAACACACATGTCAGATGCCATCTCGTCATTGTCTTCTTTACACCATAACAAACATTATGTATACAGCACAAACAAGCCTCGATTATGTGTGACAATCGCTTTATATTATTTTCGAAGTATATTGTTAACATCTTACCGGCCTTTTTAACGCTTTTTACATTAACATGAAAATGTTCCTCCGAATCTTCTGATATTTCCGTCAACTCCTCTTGTTTATTCTCTAATGTCCCACTCATGTACATATACTTCGAACCGTCATCTGATACAGTGTAAATAGATTAATAGAATGATTACAATAGACTGACATAGAAAGTGTTCAATTCATTAAGATCTTTAGCCTTAACATTTTATAAAAATGTTTAAAGCAATAGTGCCAGAAAAGATCCTTTCCTTTGCAATAAAAAGATTTGAAAGCCAGAAATATAACCAAGAAACTGAGTTTTCTTTCGCTATAGATAAAGTCTTTCAAGAGCAATGGTTTATTAAGAATATATTCAAATATTTCAAACAAATGAGAGAAAGAGAACACAATTGTAAAACACCACTTAAAAGCAAATGCGTGTACATGGTAAAGTAGGAAGAAAAAACAACAACATTTTACATTTGTCCAATATTCAAATCAGTAATTTATGCGGTATATAACAGAAGTTGACATAAAACATTGTTTAATCGGACAAAGTAGAAACGCGTTACCTTTTAGATGAGACTCAGATTCAATAGCGGTTTGAAAGTCATACAGAAAGTCCCCCAGAAATTCAAATGTTAGTCGGCAATCCCGATTTTTATGCCAACATTGAAGTATTGTGTTATACAATTCGACAGGACATTGCATTGTACTGCTCTTTGGTATTGGTAGTCTAAGTCCTTTAGATAAACTACGTTCAACATGTTCCTTGTCAAAACCTGCGGAAGTGTTAAAAATGTAGTTATGTTATGTTTCTACTATGATATTGTGACATTACTTAATTAAACAGAGCAAGGTTTTTAAAGAAATATCTATGATGGACTAAAAATAAATATGGAAAACTAAGGTGAATGTTTATCATTACATTGCGCAATCTTTAAATTGGATGGCCCACTAGTAATTGCATTCATTTGAAGGGCTTACTTTGGTGTCCACATCCATCTTGTGGATTTATGAGTTTTCAGATATACACTCATTAGAGAACTGGTAATTATTAATGCTTTTATCAAAATTATTTAAGGGAAGTATCGGTCTTTTGACTATATAATGAATGTGTACAGATACATTTTTGTACTTTTGTTTTTTCTTATAGAATGTGATTGTTAGGCTTTCCATCAGGGTTTTTGTGACTAGATTTTAATGATCTTAAATTAATTTTAATAAGTATTCAACTAAGCCTAAATGTTTGGGGTCATTATTTATATATATATCGAGTCACGCACACGTTGATATGCAATTGCTAAACACATACCTTCAAAACTGCTAAAATAATAAACCTGAACTGTCTCTCAGGGTTTTTGTATGTAACAAACCATAAATCATTGCAACAGTACAGATTTTTGCGTCACTGCGAAATTGGAAAATACCAGCAGTGTGCTTTTTTGTCTGATAGTTCTTCTGATTATGTATTTAGTAAAAGTTCTTAAGTTACCTGAATACGGAATTTCCCCAAAAGTGATCATTTCATACATCAAAACTCCAAACGACCATACGTCGGATTTTGTACTTAACGCATTTTCGTCTGCTGTAACTTCAGGTGCCGTCCATTGCCATTCAATCTCATCTGAAAAAAATTAATTAAAAATTGAAATATGGACACAGCTATATCAAAAGTCAAAAATCACAAAGCTGAAAATAACTCAAAAGATAAACACCATTTTAATTTTTATTATAAAAGCCTTTTTAAATTAATAAAATGTGTTATATTTTACTATATCATGCCACCACTTTCAATTCAAACTTGAAAATTATTGCACTTGACTGCATCATCAATGATAAATGATATGTTATTATGATAGTCTCTCTTGTCTATGTCCAATGAACACTTAAATTTTGGAAATTGAACATTAGTTATATATCAATGAGATGTGATAATTATATAGTGTCACCGAAATGCTTCCAACAATGTTAGAAATCAAATTTTAATTTTTGCCATTCAAGAAAGTTGGCCACTGTCTTCATATAAACATTGTTTTCTTAGGACTTATTCAATTATTCAACATAAGCAAGCTGCATTATCTTAAAATATCATAATTAAATCATTTTTATTGAAAAGGGGGTCTGCATTTACAAGATTTTTTATACTGAAAAAAATCATTATTTTTTTAATGAGTACATGTAGATGTGAGAAATTAAACAAATTATGTAATGCGTCTTACAATGCGTTATGCAAAGCTCCCTCATAAATATTACGTCATCCACGTGACTTTAAAATTCCTACCTTGTCTATGTTTTTCGTTTTCACTGCTTTTCATAAGTATTATCAGATTTGGGTGCAATATCTTTAGTTTATCATGCTCACAAATTAAAACGTTTTCTGCTTTCAAATTGCCGTGGACAATGCCTTTTTCTTCCAGAAATGCCATGCCATAAGCAATCTATTTAATATGTGAACAAAAAATTTGTTTATTCAAAATATAATCAGTACTCATACGACTTGAATTATTTTAACGGCATAAACCTTTTTATCATTAGAAACATTTCAATGAAAAGTCAAAAGATCTGATGATAAAAAAACAAAAACAAAAAAACGTGGAGAGTGGAAATTACAGACTTGGTTGTGCCTTGTTCATGAGCGATTATTGTAATTTGTTTCGATCACTTCGCCTTAACCAGTATTCATGTATCAACACCAAAACGCTTAACCAAAAAGCGCTATAAAATAACAAAAGTCATGGGAAGTTCTCGTTTATGTCTTAATCGTTTGAATGCTTTTGGTTAAAATAAAAGTTTAATCAGGTTATTGTAACGTGAATAAACATGATAATTGTGACAAGCAACAAATTTTTTAAATGCTTTGACGGGTTGTTATTTTGCCTTTGATCTAGAAATGTTATATGCATAGAATTTCAGACTATTTAAATTATAACTATTTTGAATGAAGTGTGAAACAAATTGAAAATCACTTTAAATATCGTACGGCCATTATGGATTTAGCTTTAGTTTTGTAATCTTTCGTTACATTACATTATTTTTTCCCCTTTCAAATATATGAATACCTCTGAAGCCATCCTGGTCAATTTCATAAGAGATAATTCTTTTCCAGTAATTTTTCTGAGGTTACTTTGTAGCGTGTCTTTAATCGTTTCCCCGAGTACAATCATGAATGGTTCAGGTTCAAGAACGACAGCTATCAATCTAACAAAGTGTTCACATTTTCGAAACTTAAACAGTAACTTGGCTCTGCCTAAAAATGGACCCAGTTCACTTTTGCATTTTGTCACGATGGTAACATCTAATGTATTGAACAATTTTCCTGTAATGAGGTAAAATAGAAATAATTAGAACGAATTAAAATAGGCAATATAAATCTGCGGCTGTATATATTTTATTCTTATTTATTTTTGCAAATATCTTGAAATCAGTCTCTTAAAATATATCTTTTCTTCACATTGCACTAAACACAGAAAAGAAAATTATACCTATGACAAGCTCTCCAAAGTTGCCGACAGGAAATGTATTTACAAGTTCAATCGCATTTCTATCAATTTCTACTCTCCTTGGATAAACAATAGGATTTTGCTTTGGAATTGAATACGTTAGTTTGCACGGCAAACCATCAGCAAAGTCTGTTACAAAACAAAGATCAGTACTTCAGAACAAAAAGTCTTAAAATGGCAACACATGTTTTCAGATTACTAAAATACGCCATACAGTAACATTGAAAGATCTTTTTTGTCGCGTTTTCTTCTTTTGCCATATAGTAACCGTATTTACAAACAATCAGTACATACAAATTGTCGCTTACATGCATCCATATGCATTAAATTAGGCAAACATGTTTATAACATGTAAATCAACTTTGTTTAACTATATTATAAATTAGAATTGCATACATTATTTAAAAGCAAAACTACATATATCAAAACTACCAATTTTAAGTCGAAACATCTTACGTTTATAGTGTTCCACAAGCGAAAAGATGTCGCTGAATTTTCGTTTAGGGCTGATGAACAGTCGATCATTTTGTGACAGGATACGATATTGTCCAACAACTCTTTGATTTGAACAAATTCTTGGTACCCGCATTGTTAAGACAAAAGTCCGTCCTCCTTAAAATTAACGGAAACGGCGTGTTAAGTCATTTGGATACATAACATATGAGCAGTATCAATGAACTGTTTTTTACACGTTTTTTATATTGACCCTTTCTGTGATGTCCTGTCTTGTTAATTGTCGTCAGCGGTATTTCCTTTCCACCCTATGGAATGTCCCTTCCCCCCATTCCCTTCCCTTATGCCCTTACCCGTTTTTGGCTCGGAAACTACTAAGAATATGCTATAGTGTGGCCGGGATTGTCTGAGGCTGCATTCTGTAAACACTTCCTTGTTGACTTATGTTCTCATTCTTTTGCAGTTTTTTTTTTCGCTTTTTTTTACGCGAAGAGTTTAAAATATATTGTTTTCCAAATTTATTATCTCGGATTGACAAATGATCTTGGTATCCTCATCAAACTTACACGGACGTATTTTTTCTTATTATTCTCAGCAGGCAAGTATTTGTCAGCTTCGTTTAGTGAGGGTAAGGTCTGAAAAATATGGTGATCGAAGAGGGGACTATGAAATAGTGAAGATAAAAATCCCTAAAGAAAGCCCAACACTTTATTTTATTAAAATGTTGCAAGGTTGGTTTGATTGAGTCTGTTCATGGACGGTGCAATCTACCGCCCAGGCCCCTAGCACCGGCTTATGCAGAATTCAACATTTAACATGAACTGATACAATTTTGAATATTGAACATCCGCAAATGTTTTTATATGGCGGTTATTATGGAACCTTTAATGTGACACGAATGTGCCATTCCATGAAAATCGGCATATGGTTCCCAAGTAAACAAATGCATGTGACCTAAACGAGAAAACAATGGGCGGAACTAAAAAAATGGAATTTTGAAAGGGAATCAGAAGTTATGAAGCCTGCATATCATAGATTAGACGTCAAAAGACAAATTTAAAAAGCAGACCACATATCCTAAGGGTGATTCAACAGTTTTCAAGTGAGGAATACTGGAACCACCCAACAAGAAAGATGCCGAATAGAATGAACTAAATTACCACACGCACAACAATAATATCGTGCTGAACGATCTTTAAGGATCGGAAATATAACATCTCTGATTGAATGTACTGGGTGACTTTTTACAGCCTCAACACCAAATTCACTTATACATTGCATCGCGACATCATTTGTGTGGACTGATGTATCGTTATAATTATGTCAAATCCCACAACGGAAAAGACAGGTGGCCGAAAATAACCACTACTTTGAACTTCTTAAACCCTTAGGATATGTTGCCTGCTTTTTAACTTGTCTTTTGACGTCTTTTATGTGATACGCAGGCTTCATAACCTCTGATCCCCATTCAATATTCCATTTTATTTAGTTCCGCCCAATGTTTTCTCGTTTAGGGCACACGCTTTTTATTACTTGGGGACCATGTGCCGCTTTTCATGGATTGGCACATAATAACCGCCATATGAACACATCTGCGGAAGTTTCTAAATTCAAAATTTTGCCATTTCATGTTTAAATGTTGAATTCTGCTTAAGCCGGTGATAGGGGGCGTGGACGGTAGTTTGCAATTGACAGTACCGTCCATGAACAGGCTCAATCAAACCGAGCCTGCAACATTTTCAATTTTGACGTGTTGGGCTTTCTTTAGGGATTCTTATTTACTCTATTTTTTCCATTCGCTCACTGGTGTGTAAACTTGACTTACCACTTCGCATGCAATCACCCTCTGGACCCTTATTTAACTTGGCAGACCCGATGTACTTAAAATATAAATCCATATGAAATTGTCAAGGATTTAAAACCTATTACTATTACCGATATGTACCCAGCCCTATCTCTTCGCCAACACACTTGGGTTTATAGGTAATTTCTGAATGTGAGTAGACAATAACAGAATAAAATAATAATCCTGCAAGTAGCAAACCTGAGTCAGGTTCAAAGCATTTAACAATTTGAATGAAGTGTTTAACTCTCATATTTGAGCACCATAAACCTGTAATGTCGAAACATTTAAAGTTATGTACTTCCAGATGGACGTATAAGGAATGTTCCCACAGGAGTGTCCGGATTGTTCATCAACACCATCGATGCATGTGAGCTAATATCATACCACCAGCTGAAATATTGCCAAGCTTCAATTAGTTAAAATGTGTGATATATAAATTATAATATTTATAATGATCAATGGGCTAAATCAGACAAAATAAATAGATTTTGATTTTGAAAATATTAAACGGGTGCAGACAATTGAATATAAAGATAAAATTCAGCAATATGTTTGAACTTAAGACCTTTTGTTTTAAATAGTTAACGGGTGCAGACAATTGAATATAAAAATAAAAAAGATTCTCATACTCTTGTGATATCAGTTTTTGGCTGGCATGTGAGATATAGGCAATTGGAACGAATCCTTTCTCTCCAGTAGATAAATGTTCAGCATAACACCAATCAGAGTTATCACTGAAATGAAATAATACTTAAGAGTAGATTTCATTAAAATGCAATGTCTCTACGAAAATGGCATAGAAATGACACACTGAAAAATTTTATTATTCCGATGAAATCATAATTGGGGATATTAAATTAATTGAAGTGTTCCAAATCGTTAATATATTAATGGCGAAGGAATCAAGAGTAATTATGAAGTTTCGTAACACAGCTGAAAACCCCAAATAAATAGAGGATATTTGTTTGTTTGTGTGTAAGATGAAATTTTATTTCATCGAGTGGGCTTTAAAAAGAGTATTCTCACGAGTGGCGTAAATACTGTTTTTAAAGTTCACGAGATGAATTAAAATTACATCTGACACAACAAACAAACAAATTTTCTTTTTATTGTATGCTTAAAAACAAGTTAAAACGAAATTTCCTTGATATTAACTTTATATTAAAATCTGTTTTCCCCACTGTTAGCCTTTATTATGTACATGTATTAGTCGAATTTCTCATAAAATACAAGAAGTCTTGGGCTGAAAAATAAGTTTGACAATCAACGTTAAACTGCAATGATATTATTCATATTATCAAAAAATATGAATGACGGCTTGTTTTAACAATTCAAGTAGGAGAAAAAGTCCAACCATCCATCCATATTTCTGTTATTTACTGCGAATTTATATAAGACCTGGCTGTGTTAAATGTAAGCATTGGCCATTTTTAAAAGTTCTGTATTTCACGAGAGGAAAATAATTGTGTTTGATTCAGAGGGATATCATTTGGATTTGTTAGTCATGCACCCTTTTAAAAGAAAGAAAACTTATTTAAGGATTGTAAGAGACAATAAATAAGTGTTGACAGATGTGTAAACATTCAAAAAGTGGCTAGGAAATTGAAATTTTGGAATTGTTGAAAGGCTGCCTTACGAAAGCTGGGTTTTTTTACTTATTCTTCGGGATGATGGCTGTAATTGATTTTCAAGTTTTCATAAAGCATAAGGCAGTATTGTCGTAGGATACTTAAATTTGCCCATATGTCATCAAGAGCAGTTTTGCATGTAGAAGGAATGTATTTTTCAGACTGTAAAAATGAAACAAAAAATTAAGAGACGAAATTTGCTGATCGGTAATTTGGATGAATAGATAATAGTTTTCTTCTTTAACTACTTTTGACATTTAAGTTATTCATCAGTTTCAGCTTTGCTTTTATCTAAACAGCCTGACATTGTCAGAATTGTCAGCAAAAATAAAATTGTGGTACCACACGGGGAAAATCTTAAGAAAGTTGTTTCGTCATTGAAAATTGTGAAATTATATTTTGATAATTATCACTGTGAAATTATCAAATATAATTTTCACGGATAAATCAGTAATCCGCTGAAAAGCATAAAATAAGAATTGGCTAATTTTAGTATTTACTTATCAATATCAGATAAACTCATATTATAACATTTGTCTTTTACCTTGTGAAGATATCGTCACGGATTTTAAGTTTGTCTAGCTTTTTGAAGCTTATCTCATCGTCAGAAAACTTTTGAAAATCATATATTGCTGTTACTATCTTCGCTCCAGAAACGGCTGAAGTAAAAATTCGTGTCATATAAAATACTTTTTTTATTTTACTTTTAGACAAATTTAGACAAACAGTTTTCAATATGGAAATAATTTTATAATGTATAAGTTTTAAGTAATTATTTGTAAACAAAGCCTATTAAGGGATTTTCACGAGTGGGCATAGATTATTTCTATTTGGTTGTCATGCCTCCCGTTACAGATACATTTAATTGCCGTTAATTTGTTTGTTTGCACTTTTTGAGCTTTCACAAGATCAAACCAATGTTCGTAATTGGTGTCTCCGTAACCATATCAACTACATATCTTCCTCGATGAAGATGTTAAAATAACTTGCAAAATTTTCAAATTGTGCTTCCCAAAAATAAACAACAATGAATCTGGCTTTTGAACTTATTGATTTATGGCATAATTGACATTTGTGCCGTTTTTTTTATTGGTTTTCATAATTTTTGCAACAATATCAGCCATTATGAAAAAAGATTCATATCTCCATACGGTCTTCTATCAACATACCAAGTATCATTAACTTAGCTTTGTCATTTTTTCAGAAATGACAGAATCCAGATTTTTTGACAGGATCTAGACAAAATTCCAATGGTTTATGTGCTAACATACGCCCTTCGTTTAAAAGAAGGAAAACATTAATTTGTTGGTTCAAGGCCATGCACCTGAAATGACGGACGGAAGCACTGGGTAGTGAAAAAAAAACACCAGCAAGTTGTATTTCATTTTCAGCAAAAAACAACACCATGAATGAAAAAGTGTAACAGTTTTGACAGCGCTACTATTTCCTTGAAAAATGCAAATAAAGTAGTGCACTTTCGAAAACCTTTAAGTTTTCAAACTTTATTGAGTGGAAAAAAATTAGTTATAAATGTTATGTACACGAGAATAACTTAATAAATTAATAAGTTATCAGCAATTTACACCATTACCAGTTTCTTAGAAAGAGCAAAAAAAACAACAATTATCTTCTCAGTGAATCAATGCAATAATACAATAAAGTTTCAGGGATTTATGTAATATATAAGTACTTATAAAGTACTGAAATGATCGAGACAGTATGAAATTTGTAATGAAGAGATTGCAAATTTTGAAAATAAATTCTTAGCTGGAACGATATCGTTACTTGTTTCCCCTATTTTTTAATAGTTAGGCTAAGTTTAAGCGAAAGTACATATTCAAAGCTTTTAAAGAGCTAAATCTAAATACATTTAATATCACTGGGTCGTCTTAGAATTTATATAATTGTGTTTTTAAAAGCACATACCATCAGTACACACGTCCTCTTGAAAAGGTGTGTAACAATCTTTATCACTTATACTAGCACTCGACTCCTCTTTAAACGCATTCGGTACAAACTCGTAGACAGGCTCCCCAACCTATGAAAACCAAACTTGGTATAAATGTTGTAAATTCGTATTTGTTCACGGTGTTTTCTTCTATGGACAGAAGATTTAATGCTCCCCGAAGAATGAGCCTATAGTCGCAGCTTTATTCTTATCCGGGACATAACTTTGAAACAACAACAGGTATCAACATGACACTCTGTAGGCAGATATATCTTATTGTGTTAAAGTGCAGTGCAAAAGAACCATAACTCTGTCTTGCCTTATCTTGGAGTTATTGTCCTTTGTTCATTTTACACTTTGAACTTTGTGCGGGACATTACTCTATAACTGTCAGAGATATCAACATGGAACTGTGTAGATAGATAGATCTCATTGGGTAAAAGTGCAGTGCAAATGAACCATAACTCTGTCTGGCCTTATCTTGTAGTTATTGTCCTTTGTTTATTTTTACACTTTGAACTTTGTACGGGATATAACTCTAATACTACTAGAGATATCAACATGAAGCTTTGTAGGTAGATAGATCTCAACAAGTAGAAGTGCAGTGCAATAGAACCACAACTTTGTCTTGTCTAATGTTGGAGTTATTGCACTTTGTCAGAGATATCAACATGAAAATTTGTAGGAAGATAGATCTCATTAAGTAAAAGTGCAGTGCAAAAGATTCATAAATTTGTCTTGACTAAGTTTGGAGTAAATGCCCTTTGTTCATATTTACACTTTGAACTTTGTGCGGGGCATAACTCTGAAACCATAATAGGTATCAACATGAATTTTTGTACATGTACGTAGATTGATCTCATTAAATAGAAGTGAAGTGCAAAAACCTTAAATCTGCCTTGCTTAATTTTGGAGTTATTGCCCTTTGTTCATTTTTACACTTTGACCTTTGTCTGTTACATAACTCTGACACTACAAAAGCTATACTTTCCTATGTCCAAAACTTGTTCGGGGAGCATCACCCGGTTCAACTGTTTCTTGTTTTTTTAATCATGCATGTTTAGTTTAATATTAAACACTTGAATTATTAATGTATGTAAGTTTGAAATCTTGGATAAATTGTCGAATATTAAAATATGTTTAATATGTTTAATGAATTTATATCAGTATCTATTTTTGCCTGCCGCTTTTGTCAGGATACACGCGTTTTAAACTGAGTAAACAGATGACATACAACTAGTGTATTTTGTCAAAAATTGAATTATAGAAAAATACACATGAACTAAAACGATATGTTAAATGTTATAGAAAATACCTCTCTTTTGGCAGTTTTCTTTTTGATGATCTGTTTCATGCGTTTGAAAAAGCCCCGGATCTTTCCTGTCAAAGAAGATTAAAAGTATCATCAAATTTTTCTCTACAAAAATTATCATCATCACTTTGATTACTGATAGCTTAAAAATGATATAGGTGGGGGGATAAATGAAACAGGCAAGACATGTTATTAAATATAATGTTTAAAAAAGACGAAGACAATAAGAATTAGTTGTCAAACAATATTTGCACTAAATACACGATATCTGGACATAACTTTACCTGACTTTTTATTATTTGAAATATTACAAACTGTATAACTGTAAACAGTATAGTATGTACGAATAAACGGCATCAGAAAATAAAATTTAACACTTACATGACATATTACAAAAATCAATAAAGTGAAACAACTGTACATCTAGTTTAAACAAGGATTTCTTACTGATATTACAATTAACATTTCGAAGGGAGAGCGAGGCCTTAAAAATCTAAATGCAACGACATTCTGACAGATATCACACGGATAGGAGCAGATCTTACGTTAAATTATAAATTCAGAAATTTGCCGGGTGGAAGGGAATGTACAAAAATTAGGAAGGCGTGAAGGAGCAAAAATTGAAGGGGTGGAAAGGTTAGCGACAATTTGAAAAACGACATTATAAATCCTTTTAAGTAAGTGTGTTTCATTTGAAGTAATTTTGTTTCATATTAACTTACCTTCCCTTTCAACATATTCTTCACTCCCAAAGTCATAATTCACCATTTCTTCATTACCTGAACTATTATCTTCTCCTTCTTTCGTAACAAGGCGATCTAAATTCATAAAAAAACACAATGGATAAGCAAGCAACTCCATCAAACAATACTAAAAGGCACAGACATCATGTTTAGGATACAGTCTAATTATATATAAATACCATGATCATGATTATCAGCGTTTGAAATTGTTTGCTCTTAATATAACATAGTTTTAAATTGTAATTATATTAGTTGCAAATACAGACTAATGCTTTATTTGAATACCATATTTTTCATGGTCAAATTGTAGGTTTAAAGCAAGGAACGGCGTATTTCATACCGAAGATAAGAAAGTTATAACAACGTCATGACTTCTTGGTATGTTTTCTTTTTCTTAAAGCGGCCTGTAGCTTTTATGTTTTGTTACAAATCAAATCTGTGTTGTTTCAAGCTAAGTATTTCATTATTTTTTCTTTGAAAAATGCTCAAATCACTATTAAGCCTTCCTCAAGAGCTATTGATAGCGCGTCAGTGACGATCGTTTCTAAAAATAGAAGATCGGGAAACGAATCGTTCGCTTAACTTATTAATATACAGAGAGCGGACAGGTAGAATAACATAGGGGTTTTCTTATTGTTAATGAATTTATCGTCAGCAAATTTCATTTTCCACCTGAATTCTGTGGATTTGACATTATATGAAACGATTAATCTAAAAATGATATACATGAATTTAAACTTTAGAAAAACTGTATGTCGCTTTAAATACTTCAAAGTCGTAAACAATATTGACTATCAAGAACTAAATATTTTGATACTGAACGATTAAAAAGATCATCTTTTAGTTATATCATTAGCAAATTCATTTATGATAAAATATTTTTGGTTACCATCATGCACATGTAATTTATGTAAGATCTTCTAAATTGGTTAAATAAGAAATAATAGAACAATTAAAATTAGCCTTTTGATGCCAATGACTACAGTTTCCACAAACCCTATCCACACATATTGGTGCAAAAACGTTAATTTAATGATATTAAAGGGAAATAAAAATTTTGCATTTCAGTAAAACTCAAAGTAAGGAACACATTGCCACTCTTTGTCATTTCAATAAATTAAAAAAAGAGACTAAGCTAAAAGTGATCAGCTAGTTTCACTCCAAAATTATGCTAATGAGTTATGTTTGTATTCTGTACAAAACGTTTTTTTTTTTAAAATAAGACCCATCCATAGTTTCACCTTACATACAGTATTCGGGTTAAGACCCTTTATTTTTTATATTTCGGTCATGAAATTATGTTTTCACTCACCCAAGAATTATTTAAACATGATAACAAAGCGTGAAATTACTTGTCATGATCCTCATGTTAATTAAGGAGTAAAAGTAAATATTGTAACAATTTTGTTATCTTTAGTCTTGATTTGTGATTTTAAAGGAAGTGAATTGACTTTATATAAGTTAAGAATATAGATTTATGGTTGTTATTCAAAGGTACTTTCAGTCTTTAACATATAGTGTTGTTATATTGTTAAATTGATGTTTTAAGTGTTGAAAATTAAGTACCGCTCAAGCCGGTGCTAGAGGGCGTGAGGGATATTGCACTTATTCATTATCCCTCATGTACAATTAAACCGAGTCTGCAATATTCTCATATAATTTGGTTGTGATTAATGCTTCCGATGGATCACTTTATTTCCAGATTTTATATAGGATTTTGTTTTGAAAATTAATTGGTTGCATTCTTTTTTAATTGTATTGTAACCCTGATTGTATGAAATTATTTTACTATTACTGATTAAGTGAAATTTTATAAATGTATAATTATGCTTTTAAAACAATTTTCAAACATCGAACAATATGTAAAATATGAACTGCAAATATTTGTCCACATTTAATGTAATCATTTAAATATATGCATGCATTTCTGATTGAATTATTTGACTTAAACTTATGGAAAATAAATTTCTAATTACCTTTCTTTATTTACATGAGATGTTAAATTCGGTAATTTCTTTATAATCAATGCTTTTCGGAACTTACAATATTGATAAATCTTAATTTGGGCATCATATTTGTCCACCTGTAGTGTGTAAAATTTTAAACATAACTTATCTACTTAGTGTGAAGTCAAAGCATGTTAATTTTATATTTACAAAGAAACTGTGTAGCAATTATCAATATTTTCTTATGACGAATTTGAGCACAGGTTATCTTTAAAGCAATATCCTGATCAAAATCACCTTCTAACGGCGTGTGTAGTATCTCCTCGAGATCTTTTAAATTTTCCCCTCTTGTATCAGGCTTTATATCTATTTTTGTTTGAAAAACTGTATCATCTTGTTTGAACTCTGATGTTTTGTCTTTCTGATCAATGCATTTTACTTCAGTAATAATGACTTCCCCCTCACTTTCTTCAGAAACCTGATACATTAAGTCATCAGCAAAAATAATGTTCTCCTCCATGAGTACATCACTTGCTTTATTTAACATATTGAGCAACTTAAGTTTTCCTCCGATATCTAGAAACCAGAATTTATTTACTTTCTTCAGTCTCCATTTTACATTTTGACTTATGTCTGTCTCCATTCTATGATCGATTACTTCTGAAAAATGTAAATGTTGAAAATATAAATTATAGTTTATAAGGGTTGATCAACACTTATAATTGTAAGTACTTTTAAATGTTGCAGGTAATCAATTGATTTGTTTTAATAAATCGGTATTTCACATCATTCTAAACTTCGGAACTTGTTAATACTAAAATATTTTGAATAAAAATAAGACTTACTTTAAATTGAAAATGGGACCTTACACTCGTACTCCTTTAATATTCTTTGCAAATATGTAAATATGTGTTTCTGCCTATAGACATTTGATACACTGTAAATTTTACAGTTATCGATAAGAAACCAAGGCAAGTATGTTAACGCTATAAAAGTTAACTTTAAAATGATCAACACTCAATTCACTTCCGTGTTCTAGTTTTCCCAAATAAGATATACATGTATTTAATGCGCAAATTGGCATATTCTTTTTGAAATGAAAATCATTGTGAATTCAAAGATAACAAAAAGGTTTCTTAAGCATGCAGGTATTATGAAAAGAAAAGAGAATGAAAATAACTGACTGCTGAATATAATATTGTTCTTTGTATTATTGTCCCTGTAATCTCTAATTGTGATATCACGAACCTTCAAAATATAACTGTGACCTTGACCTTTGAAGAAGGGACGTGGTTCCTGGACGCGACTAAATGTTGTTATGAGATAGACATTTGTGCCAAATAATTTCAAATTCCCTCAATGCATGACAAAGTTACAGTCTGGACATGATTGTTGTGTAAGTTGGGACATACGGACAGACGGACATGAGCTTTAGCCACGACATATTGTTTTGATGTGGTAGACATTTGTGCCAAGTTATTTTAAAATCCTTCCATGCATGAGAAAGTTACAGCCCGGACATGAATGTGTATCTTCAAAGTCTTCTCGAGAGACTGAGTACCTTCAAACTATAAGTCTGACCTTGACCATGAAGGTAGGGACATGGGTCTTTGTCGCGACAAGTCGTCTTGATGTTGTAGAGATGCCTAGTTATTTTGAAATCCCTCGATGCATAACAAAGTTACAGCCCGGACACGAATGTGTGTACCTATAAACTCTAATTGTGATAAAGTGAACTTCAAAATGGCAGTGTGATCTTGACCGTTGAGGTAGGGACGTGATTATTGGTCGCCACACATTGTCTTGATGTTGTTGTCATTTATGCCAAGTTATTTTAAAATCCTTCCTTGCATGACAAAGTTACAACCCGGACACGATTGAGTGTACCTATTAATTCTAATTATTGTGATAATGTGAAAAATATTAGTGTGACCTTGACGTTTGAGGTAGGGACGTATTCTTGAACGCGACATATCGTCTTGATGTGATAGACATTTATGCCTAGTTTTTTGAAAAATCATTCGATGCATGACAAAGTTACAGTGCGGACACGAATATATTGCGATAATGTGAAACATCAAAATGATAGTATGACCTTGACCTTTGAGGTAGGGACGTGGTTGTCTTGATCAAGTAGACATTTGTGCCAAGTAATTTCAAAATCCCTCAATGTATGACAAAGTTGCAGTCCGGACACGAACAAAGTGGGACAGACGGACGGATAGACAGACTGACAGACAGACAGACAGAGCGATTATATTCAGATTATTTTTTATTTGTCATTCTTTATTTATCTTTTTTAATTAAAAAATATCTTATCTAAAATGTTAAAATGTATACAGGTGACGATGACGAATTATTATTCAAATTTTTAAATAATAACAAAATCTTCATTATATTTTTATCTCTTCTAAAATTTCCATATAAAGACATCAAATATACAATCAAAACAAATAAAAATCATTTGAGGGTAATGCAAAAGTTGACTGGTCTACAATGGGCACATTTTCTAAGTTTTTCAATCAATTTCGATATTCTTAATATATTACTTGAGAAAGAAATGTACATAAAATTATAAGTGATTTTGTATGAACATTTATAACTTGACCAATTATATTGTTCTAGAACACTTTATTATCTACGATATAAATATAATACTGTAATAACGGATCATGTACCTCACACTTGCCATCAATATACATACATAAATCGTTCGTGGTTTGATGTTATTTTTGATACTTAATACTGTCAACATATTAATTGTTTTACATGTCTCCCATTAGAGACCAATTCACTTTAATCCTTATATTATTATAATGTAAATCCTGCCATTTCTTTATTACTAGTATTTAATGAGTTGTTGTTGGATATAATAATGATATAACTAAAATATTAAAATTTCATTCCATTCTTTACTTTTTTTGACAAAAATAAATATTTTTACCTTTGCTCCATTTATGGTATATTTTTCTAGCCTACATAGCTTAAGGTAGACACCGTAATTTTTACTTGTAAAGCATTTTCAGAAACTTTTGATCAAACTAAAAACACTTGTTTTAGATCATATTAAAAGCTCGAAAAGGAAATTTATTGTATATATCTGACATATGCGGGCGAAGAATCTTCAAAATAAAGCACGAGTATATGTCTTGGTTCTTGAGTTTAAGCGTTTTCACAAACATTCACATATTTAACCGGAAACTTATTTAGTTCCGCCCATTTTTTCTCGTTAAGGGCACACGCATTTTTTTTACATATGCCGCTTTTCATGGAATGACACTAACGTGTCATTATGTGGCCTGCTTTTTAAATTTGTCTTTTGACGTCATATCTGTGATATTCAGGCTTCATAACCTCAGATCTCCTTTCGAAATTCAATTTTGTTTAGTTCCTCCTATTGTTTTCTCGTTTAGGGCAAACGCATTTTTTACTAGGGAAACATACACCGTTTTTCATGAAATATGGCACTAACGTGTCACATTAAAGGTTCCATGATAACCGCCATATGAACACACCTGCGAATGTTTTAAAATTCTAAATTATACCAGTTCATGTTAAATGTTGAATTCTGTAAGCCCGTCCTAGGGGGCGTGGACGGTAGTTTACACTTTACCGTACCGTCCGTGAACAAGCTCAATCGAACAGAGCCTGCAACATTTTCAATTTTGCCGTGTTGGGCTTTCTTTAGGGATTCTTATTTCCCTCTATTTTATCGCCACATCAGCGTTGTTTGTGCCGTGTGTAGGCTGTAAAAAGTCGCACCGTACATCAATCAGGGATGATATGTTTCCGAACCTTAAAGATCGTTCAGTACGACATTATTGTTGTTCTTGTGGTATTTTAGTTATTTCTATTCGGCATCTTTCTTGTTGGGTGGTTCCAGTATTCCTCACTTGAATAATGTTGAATCACCCTTAGGATATGTGGCCTGCTTTTTAAATTTGTTTTTTGACGTCATATCTGTTTGTAATAATTTCGCCCTGATCAAAAGATAATTCGTCATCATCACATGTATACATTTTAATATTTTAAATTAAATACTTTATAAATTAACATATGTATTAAAAGAAAAAATAGCACATATCATCGTACACTCTTCAACGAACTGAAAAACAAGAACAACAAAAAAGATGAGCGGAACAAAATTAATCTATTTATACGAAAGAGACCCATTAACCCATTGATATTTTAAGCTCTCCATTTTTAGCATGTAAGAATGGAAAAAGATATTATTTCTCTTGCTTTATAGTATAATAATGCATGGATTATAGTTCAATTGCTTTGTAATTAATCACTCGAGCTTATATACCTTCATAATTTTATTCCTACGCATTTAAACTCAAACCGTGCATAATTCTACAACAATGCACCCAAAATTGATATCTATTTCCCAAATATTAATTTGATTCTAAGGATTCCGAAACAAAATGAAAATCTTTATTTACATCGCAATTGAAACGCACGCGTGTTACTTCTGTTGGTGTGTCTTTAACCATTATTTTTGAACCCATGTAAAAAGAAAATTCGTCATCATTCTATATACATTACAAATTTTATATTATGTATTTTATGTACCATAGTGATTAGAATGTATAAAGCTTTAGATATGCCCAAAGAATTATAAAGTGGAAAATAAAATGAATTAATTCCCTCTTTTGTGTTACTCTAGGTTTTAAACCAGCGTACATTGCACTTTAGGAATTTGCCAACTTATCTGTCAATTGCAGATCACAGAGAAATACCAGCGGTACAAAAATCTTTGAATATACATTGTATGTGTAACAAAATAGATCACCCCATCAATCAAACATTGTGAAGCACAACTTTATTGTTGTGTGTGCATGTTTGTAGCATTTTATTCTTTCTATTGGATCTTTTCTAGTTGGGAGGTTCCAGTATTGCAATAAGAATACTGTAAAATTACCCCTCGGATATGTTTCCTGCCTTTTCGCGCTTTGTCTGATATGCAAGCCTTATAACCCCTGATCCCCTCCCTGTCAAAATTTCAGTTTATTTAGTTCAGACTATTGTTCTTCTCGTTTACATGCATTATATAATAATAAGCATTCTTGTTTTTTTTTGGATTTACGAACGTGTCACATTAAATGTTCCATGGTAACTGTCGTATAAAAACTTCTGTGGATGTTTCTAAATTCAAATATTTCACCATTTTGCTTAGACCGTTACTAGGAGGCATGGGCGATATTTTGTAATTACGACTACCGTCCTTGAACAGGCTCATTCAAACTAATCCTGCAACATTTTCAAGTTTGCCTTTTTTGGGCGTTTTAAGGGATTCCGTTTTCCTCTACTTTATATGATTTTGAAGCGTGGAATAAAACTTACCCGCCATTACAATACTTTTTACATTAATTCCAGCTCTTCTGTTCCATCTATTAATGCCCCACTCATGTACATGTTCTTTAAGCTGTCACCTGATAAAATTAATAGTAATGTAGATTCTTATCTAAATGATTGAAATATGACAGAAAAAGAATGTAAATATGAAAGAGAAAGAATGTAAATATGACAGAGAAAGAATGTTATTCAACCATTATTTAGGACAATGTTTCATGCTTAAAGAGTTATCTTCGGATTGCACGTAAGTATTCAATTATTGTCAAGTATGCTAGTTAGATAGTGATTCTAACAAAG